TTTACCTTTTCTATTTTTTTATAGTGTATATTTGCCTATTATTTATTTTACTGTATATTTTTAAGATAAATGTTTAATTTGGTTTTTATTTCCTATATTGTATATTTACTTTTTGTTTATTTTTTTCTTATATTGTATATTTATTTATTTTAATATGTTTACTTTTAAATTAAATGATAATTTTATGCTAGATGTTTAACGTAATATTTATATTTCTTATACTTTATATTTACCTATTTTATATTGCATATATACTTATTACTTATTTTATTATACATTTTTAATGTAATATTTCTATTTTTATATTGTAGATTTACTAATTTTATATTTGTTTTATATTGTATATTTAATTTTTTTTTGACAATATAACAATAGATGTTTAATGTAATATTTTTATTTCTTATATTGTATGCTTACCTATTTTTATATTTTATATTTTCTTATTAATTATTTTATTATATATTATCCAGAAATATTTTTGAAGTGATATTTCTATTTTTTTGTATATTTACTTTTTTTTTATTTTTCCTATATTGTTTATTTTTCAGATAAATGTTCAATGTAATAGTTCTATTTTTAGATTGTATAAGTTTTATATTTATTATATTGTATATTTATTATATTGTATATTTATTTATTTTTATGATAATATTATTATAGATGTTTATTGTAATATTATATTTCTTATATTATATATTCACATATTTTTATTTTGCATATTTGCTTATCTTTTTATTCTACATTTCCGAGATAGATATTTAATATAATATTTTTTATATTTCTATTGTATATTAAATAATTATTTATTTTCCTTATATTGTTTATTATTATTTTTTTATATTTTTCGAAGAGAGGTTCTACAATGATGTGCATGCTTTTTAGAATCTCAATTAGTCCATTTTAATAGAAGTACCATCAACATCAATATATATAACTCAAGGAGAGAGAAAATTATTTTATTAATGAAATCAAAGTTTTAGTGTGACCAACTAAATATAATATTACATGTAAATCCTCCGAGGAATAAATATGTGCTTATGAACTGCCATCATCTTCGCAAGAGTTGTTGATGTTAGGAGTTGCAAGAACGGCCTGTATAATACAAATTGGATGCTCTATTTCCTTCTGTTCATTTCTTATTCGTTCTTTAGTTTTCTACTACACACAATCCTCTTTTTTCTGAAGTTCTTTGGAGATCTTTTTTAAGAGGTGTGAGACTGATGTTGATGGAATAATGGATTTTATAGGGATTTGTTTGATGTAAAACTATACATTTTTTTAATGTAGTATTTCTATTTTTTAATTGTATATTACTTATTATTTATTTTAATATTTTAATATAAATTTTTAGTGTAGTATTTCCATTTTAAATGTTGTATGTTTACATATTACTTTTTATAGTGAAAAAGGTAATCTTACATATGTTTTATGTAGTTTTCCATTTATGTTGTATGTTTACATATTGTTATTTTTTAATGTAAAATGATAATCTTACATATATTTAATGTAGTATTTCCATTTTTTATGTTGTATGTTTACATATTAATTTCGAAATTATATGTTTATTGATTTTTTTTGTAAAATGTTAATGTTACATTATGGAGATAAGCTGTATTTTGTTTTAGTGAAAAATGGCAATCTTACATATGTTTAATGTAGTTTTTCCATTTTTTATGCTGTATGTTTACATATAATTTATTATTTTCGAAATTATATATAATCTTTTTAACTTTTTTTTATAAAATGGTAATGTTATATTATGGAGATANTAATGTAGTTTTTCCATTTTTTATGCTGTATGTTTACATATAATTTATTATTTTCGAAATTATATATAATCTTTTTAACTTTTTTTTATAAAATGGTAATGTTATATTATGGAGATAAGCTGTATTTTCTTTTAGTGAAAAATGGTAATTTTACATATGTTTGATATAGTATTTCTATTTTTATGTTGTATGTTTATATTATTGAAAATTAGTAATATTAAAATGTAAAACTTTAAATTTGCCATATGACATCTTTTTAAATAGGGTTATTATGATGAGGTGGACGCTCCCATGAGCCTCGATTAGTCCCTTTTAATAGTATAGATTTTGACTTTCCCGTAAGTTTTATAACATGACGAAAGCCCAAAAAAAACAATTGGTCTAAAACCCAAACTATTAGGGTTGTCAGAGTAAAAAGTTACGTACTTTCATGCTAACTAGCTTGTACTTTCCTAACTTTTCCTTTTATTGTCTTTTTACTTTATTTTTCATCTCAAATTGGCACGGAAAATATAAAACAAAACAAAAAAGGAAAATTGCAGGACCACTTGCTGAAACCTAATCATATATAATCCAAAATCTAATCGGCTCCCTCTCTTCTTCCCCTAGATCCAAAATCTAATCAAATTTTGCTTACATGGGTCAGGCTTCGGGTTTAAAATGTAAGTTTTGATTTTGATCTTTTTTTTCCGGATTCGTTTAGTGGGAAGATCTGTGTATTGGTTAATCAAAATTTCGCTAATAATAAATAATTGCAGGCAGAAGAAAGAGTCAGTTGGAGTCTACATCTAATAGAGATTCATTGAGCAGTTTGCCAGATGATATTCTTGGCATTATCTTGTCTTTACTTCCGACAAAACTTGCTGCTTCCACATCGGTTCTGTCTAAGAGGTGGATGAATCTGCTCCCTCTTGTAGACAGCAGCCTTGATTTTGATGACTCCATCTTTCTTTATCCTGCTGCTGCAAGATCATCAAGTAGTGGATTCGCCGATTTTGTGGACAAGACAGTGGCTCTGTTGAGTAGCTGTCCCATCAAGACTCTCTCCTTGAGTGGCCGCTGCTACGAAAAGTCTCGTGTTGACGAGTGGATTCGCGTTGCGCTACAACGCAGCTTGTCGGAACTACACTTGCGGTGTCCTCATCGGCTAGACAAAGATAGAGTAGAGTTGTTGTTTAGGTCAAAAACATTGGTGAAGCTTACACTATCCGATGGATGCGTTATCGAAGATCTCCCTGATGGACACGTGGACTTTACTGATAAACCTTTTATGGATGAGAAAATAAATGAAGATAGGTTTTTCCCATCCCTCAAATCGCTTTATCTGGGCGATATCGTGATTGATGAACGCTATTATTTCAAGCTCATCCTTATGTGCCCTGTTCTGGAAGAATTGTTTATACGTAACGACGGCGTTTCACACCCGCCAAGTTGGATTGGACGTGTGCCAAGTTATCCTTTGAAGCGACTTGTGATTGATTACCTTGTTCGTGTTCCAGAGTATAAACATGTTTATTCAGAAATTGAAGTTCGCATCGGTGGTCCAGAAAACCTAGTCTACTTTGAATTTTCTAGTTACGTCCATGCTTATTATGGTAGTTTTGGCGACATGGAGTCGCTTGTCGAAGCTAGACTAGATCTTCGATTATTGGAGTCAACTACCCGTTTTGATGATGATACCGACACAGGTGAATGGAATGGAGTGAATGGTTTTGATGATATCTTTGGTAATGCTACAATCCTGATTTGGAGAATGGCCAGTTACGTAAAGATCCTTCACTTGTCTCCTTATTCTCTTGAGGTCAGTACTATCTCTTCTCTCTCTTTAGTTGTTTGATTATTTATTGATGAAGCTGAAGCTTTATAAAATAAATTATATTTTAGTAATAATTAGAACAAATCGACATGCAAAAAAAAAAAAAAAAACCCCTAAAATCTTTAAAAATATTTCTAACTAATTAATACAACTATCAAAATAATTGTCAGTATAATTTAAATTTTTGAAAACATAATAATAACTTATCATACTTGTTTATTAATTAATAAGATAGTATCCGTATAAAGATCACTTGCGGGCAAAACATCTATCTATACTATTATTTGCAAAGTGATTTTTCGCAACAGAGCTCTCACGTTAAAAGTTAGATTGGTTAATATCGTTTATACCCTTAATGAATAATTACAAATTTCAATATATAATTAAACATAAATAAAAAACGAATTTCAATTGATTTTAGATTTATCTTTATGTAAAACTATTTTATATTGGGTTATAAAGTCTTTATTAACCTTGAAAAATAATTATATTTGTTAATATATAATTAATTATAAATTAAAAACGAGTTTTGATTTATTTGATAATTATCCTTATTTAAAAAATTATATTATGTTTATCAACCTTGAAAAATAATTATATTTGTTAATATATAATTAATTCTAAATTAAAAACGAATTTCATGAATTTGATAATTATCCTTATCTAACTTTTTTATATTATGTTATAAAGTTTTTATTAACCTTGAAAAAATAATTATATTTTTAATATATATTTAATTATGAAAAAATAAATTTGCAAAGAATATAGGTATAGATAATTTATATTGTGTTATCCAAAATATTACTAAAGTTAATTTTATTATACTTCTTTTTGTTATGTCTAGAAAACATAGTAATTTATTACTAAATATTTTAAATTTATGAGAATTTCACATTTAATTTATGCAATGATAATTATTTATATGATGATGAAAAATTTTATATATAGAAAGAATCTGTTTAGATTATTATTAAATGTTTTGAGTGTATGCACAATAATTTATTATAATTTACTTAAATTGATTATATATTTGTTTATAGATATTAGTAAAATTATTAAGCCCGCAAGTGCGGGCAAAACACCTAGTTATATATTATATATGTATATGGTTTTGATAATAATACATTATACGTACATTAGGCGCTTCATTTCGGCTGCGAATTCTTCTGCGAATTCCACAACCTCGCTACTTTATCATTCGAGAGCGACAAGGATAAAAGCTGGCAAGTTCTGCCACGTTTGCTCAGAATTACCCCAAAGCTACAAAATTTAGTCATCAAGGTATCAGTTTCTTAGATGGTCAAAAATTATATATTCTGCAACTGATTTATTATTATCACACATCAGGGTCTCTTGCACCGAGTTACAGGTAGATGTGGAGATGTGTGCCCTTGCTATCATCGTCCCATACATAAGAGAGTGATTGGTGGTCGAAAACCGAAAGTGTCTTGTTTACCGTCTCTTCCTCTGAAGGTGCTAGAGATCTCAGGATATGGAGGAACTTGTAGAGAGATTAAACAGATGAGGCATTTCTTGGGAAAACTGCAATGCCTCCAACTTGTGAAAATTGGTGTTCAGCCAGAGTCTGATTGCAACAAGTTGAGATCGAACCTAATGAGACTTCCCAGACTCTCATCCAACTGCATCATCCAGTTCATCTGAATTTCTGTCTCACTCTTGATGATGACAAGTTGAGAAATAGCTCTCCTTACTATGTTATCTTAGGATTTGAGTGGCAATTAACTTTCCCATAAATCAGCTGTTTCGTGCACGTTTTAAAGGTTTTGCAGAACAATTTGTTGGAATCGATTATGTTTAATTTAAATACTGTGGTAAACCCCTCCTACTGGAGGGCGATCAAATAAATTAATAATATGAATTGTTATAAATTTTGGTTTTTACTTTTAACCTAAAATACCATGAAGGTTCATACTTGTTTTACAACAAGTTTATATCTGTGGAAACTGAATTGCTGCTATGATGACTTACTAAAATTTTGTTTCAATTCGTTGGATTTCTAGTTCGTGATCTTAGCTCTGGTGTAAAAGTAGAGGAGACAATGGAAAATCATACAAACATACCTTTTTTTGTTTAAAGCTGAAATGCGCAAAATACTTGGTTCTCCATTTCCAGGACCTGGTCTACGAGGATAGGAACCTACAAGGCAATTAACATGCAAGTGATGCCAAGGAGTTGAAGATTCTTGTCTGTCTATGTTGTTTCCATCGATATCAGAGACATATATATATATATAGTTCTCTTGATTACATCTTCCTTGTGAGCCAAGCTGGTTCTTTTGTTTACATCGTGAATATGAACCCAATCAAACAGCTTTCATAAAAAGCAAATTACTCTTGGCAAATTGTCTACTTGCCTCCGAGTTAGTTTCAGGCTATCACAAGCAAAACTAATCTTGAAGATTGATATAACCCAAAGGCTTCGACTGGGTGAGATGGGATTTCTTGACTGCCTGCTTAGAAGCTCTGTACCTTCCTCCTGACTGTGTGTTCAATGGCTCTCTCTCTGCCTGCTACACTTCTCCATCATACTCAATGGGTTCGGCCTGGTCATCAACACTCTAACCAACAAACTCAACAATGCAGCTGGTGGTACAGTGAAGGCTTTGGATTCCATTCAGAGCTCTTTCTCGTCTCTCAATAAGTGTGGAAAAAATCCTGCTTCTTCTCAAGAAACTGCAGACCTCACAATGGGGCATAAGTGAGTGCTGGATCCTTTCCTATGCGATACCTCAGCCTCAATAAAATCAAGCTCCTGGACTTGGAAAGGCAAGCCACAGACTTGTAATAAACTCAACAACAAGCTCATACATTTCAACGCAGCATTAATCTAACAGTTTGATCAAATGATGCTTATCATCTCAAAACAAGAAATAACGAGTAATAAGAAAAAAATATTAAAATCTTTCTGATAGCAAAACATAAGTTAGTTACTGGAGAAACAACATCCATTAATATCCAAAACAAAGCACAGAAACTGAAAAAAAGAAACATTACACAAAAAGCAATTCATTTATTAAGAGCTAATAAATAACAACCTCCCTATCTTTTTTGTTTGTTTCTTCTTCCCCTTTTAGGTGTACTACTACACTCGTGAATATGAACCAAGCTTGGAACATAAGTGATGATACCTGGGCAGGTGAAAGTGAAACGAGTTTGGTTTATTGTACCGTGATAGACTTGTTTAAACATACCATCGCCAACAATGTAGATTCTGGTCCTATATTCACCCAACTCCACTGAGTGAAAATCACAACATGTCACCACTTTATTCTCCTCGTCCAAAGAGAAGCTTGCCAAATTCCCCACACTTGGGACGTGAAATTTATCAAAATCCATTTTCAAGACGAAGTGGCTCCTCCAGGACAAGTCCTCCTCATCATCCTCAACAACCTTATTGCTCACCCATATCCTCATCACATATGACCCTGAAAGAGTAGAGCGAAGCAACACCGAGAGCTTCTCATCATTAACAACTGACAGCGCTACTTTACTGTCAGGGGGATCCAGAACCTGAAACGGAAGAGGGAGACGCACAAATTTCTCGGTCGTGAAATCAAACTTCACCAAGAAATAGCAGGCGGTTTTATTACCTCGAGCAATCCAATAAGTATCCCCTTTCAAAGACATGCCACTGTACTGTAACTGATGGTCAAGAGGGAAGGAATCAAGAACCCTCCAAGAATCAGAGCTAAGCTCATAGATCTCACACTCTGCAAACATCTGGCCGTTTTTATAATACCAATAAAAACTCAAGATTTTGTAGCTATGACCAGAAGAAGAAGTGTTGGTGTATCCTAGAGTATATTTATTATTTCTAAGGAAACAAGGTTTGGGTTTGATTAACCTTGTTTGACCAGTACATGGGTTCCAAACCACAAGTCTAGGAATTTCCCTTGATTGGCATAACATTACACCGTCGCAGTGAAATATCTTAGACAAGTTCAAATCTTTTTTTGAACTCCTAAGTTTAGAGGTGAACTCCATAGGTTCCACGCCTCCTCCTCCTCTGTTGTTATTGTTATGGAGATCTTTGTCTATTGAATAAACATTCTGATTGCTCAGTAACATCGACGCTCTTACAGCTTTTCCCATCTTCTTGTTCTTCTCCACGAACCTCGGATCTCTGAACAAAGCGTACCATCTTTTGCATGTTGTTTTCAACTCCGATAAAGAGTTGGCCGGAACCCTGGACAGTATCTCCGCTTCCAAATCGTCTGTAAGATTGGATAACATCATCATTCTCTGTCGTGATACATAAATTAGGGTTTAATATTGCCCGAAGAAAAAAACAAAAGAGGTCTTTTAACTTTCAAACTTTAATAGTTACTATATGTTTTAATTATATTTAAGTCAATTTAGAATATCATCCAAATGAATGATTATTTGCATCCAAACAATTCGACCTAAAACATTAAACTTTTTTACATTGATAAAGTTATTCACAAATTAAAAATAAATCTATATTTCCTTTAAAATTTTGAAAAATCTAAAGTCTATTTCATTTCTTCTTAATTGATAAAAAGTATAGAAATCTATCTTTCAATTTGAAAATTGAATCGATAAATATACATTCAAAAATTGATCTTACAGAAAGAATAAAATTAGTTTGGATGATAATACAATATATTTGAATTTATTTTAGTCAAACACGTATTTTTTTTTGAATGATCTTTTATTTTATATGATTAATTCATGTTTAAGGTTTAACTATATAAAAATAAACATAAATTGAATTTAACGTGTGAGTTCAGAGGCGAAAAATAAATTCATGAATATATATCATTATATTATTTAATTTGAAAATAATTACGTATTATACTTTTTTCAATTGTCTCTTTTGAATTATATACAATTAAAAATTTTATTTTATGAATATTTTTTTCTGTTTTTGAATTTTTTTATCCAAAATATATTTTCCGGATAACAACACAATATATATAAGAATTATCTTTTTATTTTTAAATATTTTACTTTATGAATATTTATTTATGTGTTTTCTGTTTTTGAAATTTTTATCAAAAATTTGTTTTCCGGATAACAACACAATATAAGCATTATCTTTCTTTTTTTTAAATATATATTTAGATTATGTATAATTCTTATTATTATTATTAATTTAAATCATTAGTCTAGTCAAATAAGTATTAAATTCGTTTTTAGTTTTAGCTGATTTATATATTTTATTCATTAATGGTATAAACGATATTAACCACTCCAACTTTTAACGTGAGAGCTCCATTGCGAAAAATCACTTTGTAAATAATAGTATAGATAACTGAAACAAATTATTTTGGAATATACCGTTTTTACATAATTGTTTTTTTCAAGAAATTTTAAATTTAACAAGTTATAATTATGAAACTCTTGAAATATTAAAAGCAAATAATGTAAATTTTATTTTTTATAAATATAAGGAACATGTTGTAAATAAAAATTAACATTTTGAAAATATTCTATTTTGTAAATATATATTTTCAAAATATGTTAAGAATATAATTTGGATCCCAATAAGTAATATTTAGACAAATAAAATCAGATAAATATAGAGGGGGTGATTGAGTAGGCTTTATCTTCTTACTTATGATGTCATCATCTCAAAACAAGAAATAACAAGTAAATAAAAAAAGAAAATATTAAAATCTTTATGATAGCAAAACATAACTCAGTTACACAAAGCAATTTCATTTATTAAAAGCTATAATAACCTACCTTTCTTTTTCTTTTTCCCCTTTTAGGTTTACTATTACACTCGTAAATATAAACCAAGTTTGGAACATAAGTGATGATACCTGGCCAGGTATAAGTGAAATGAGATTGGTTTACTGTACCGTTATAGACTTGTTTAAACATAACTTGTATAAGTGATGTATAAGTTAAACGAGATTGGCTTACTGTACCGTTATAGACTTGTTTAAACATAACTTGTATTTTTTTTTTGATCAAACAAAGCATTGCATTACTACTAAGAGTTTACTCTTCAAAAGAAGAGATCATAACAGAGGAAGCAAGAGTTGCTTTTGCCGCCGAATCAGCTTCGGTATTGAAATTAAGGGAAATAAAGTGAAAAGATATTACATCAAACAAAGAAACGAAATGATAGATATCAAACATGATACCGAACAGTTCAGGCTGATACTCTCTCTTCTTCAAAAGGTTGACAAGAGATAAAGAATCGGATAGAACCATCAGGGATCGGACGTACCAACGAGATTGGCTTACTGTACCAACGACCCCATAATCTTTTCCTTTTCAAAAACAACCCCATTAATTTCCGAAACCACAAAATCTCCCTTGACGACCCACCACTGTCCGAGAGAGAGATCTTCGGTGTCCTGTTTTCAGATAGACCTCACACTGTATTGAAGTCGTGGAACCACCGTGAAAGCGACACGTGGCGCTGATTCCTCCAACGCCTCCTCTGCAAAGCTTTTCATGTACACTTCAGAGAACTCAGCTATATGCTCAAAGAGAAAGCTAAGCAAAGCAAGAAGCGGAACCGTTTCGCCATTTAAAAAAAAAAAAAACAGAGCACAAGCTCGTCTCCGGGAACTCACCTTGGTTTCTGAAATGCAGATGTCCAAAGAAAACTTGCTCCAGCTTCGTATGTATGAACAGCAAGAACCTGGTTCTGCAGAACCTAGCGAATCTTGATTTAGACCGCGTGTTTAAGCAATCGTTAGTTTTCATCAACCTGAGAAGTGTGGTAGATGTAATGCTTCGAACATTACATTGGAGACAAAATGTTCGAAAGTGAAACACTTGTGGTCTTCCTTGTAATAAGACACACACCGGGCAGGATAAGACTTAGCAGCCATGGAGATAAACATTTGTTGTTGGATCATTAGCTTGACGAATCCTCTGACTGTGTGGTGCACATAAGCAACGACGAAGTGTATGGGATTTAGAGCTGATAAGTGAAGATTGTCTACAAAGCTGTCCGCAATGGTTAAGTCTCTTCACTGTTAACCTGCTCCTCGAGGATTCGGATCTCTTTGTTTCTTAGAGAAACATTGTTTTAGCTCACACAAAAGTCTTCAGCTCGGATACAACCGAGTTGTCTGCTTTTTGAATCCCTATTGCGTCACGTGGAGACTGAGAATGCTGTAACCAGCTTTGATGTAAGAAACCGTAGCGAAAATCTTTGCAAGAAGAGTTTCTTCCTCAAGTTTGTAGACAGATTAGCTTCTTGGAATTGAACATTATCTTCTGGAGCAACACCAGTTAGCTTATGAATATGTTAAGAACTTTAGCAAATGTGCGTCATAAGCAACAACAACCATTGGTTTCACTGTTTCCATCTGCAGATGATCCATCACAAAGTAATGACAAAACAGTATCAAGAACACCACAAAATGGAATAGAGAACATGTAATGATAAATTGTTACGTTTACATACAGAAACAAAGAGCAACGAACTTTAATACTTGGATCAAGAAGGGACGTTAATGGAGGGCCACAATATTCTCTGAATAGGACTTAGCTTTATGTGAAGAACTATATGAAAAGAGCTCAAAAGTAAAAGAATGTTTCCTTAATAAAAAATATATTAGCAAAAGAGATATCTATACATATACAATACAATGGATACTGCTTTAAAAAGGAGACTTGTGTGTATACCATTTCTTTTCAAGAATGAAACCAATATACTTCTAATTTTCTTTCTTTGAGTTTAAAATTGTGGGGCTATTTAGTCAAACATGTGTTGATACAGAACAAATATAATAAATGTCTTGCCTCCAAATAACACATGACTTATGCAGAATAGTTAACCTCTGAGAAAAGAAACATTTCAAAAAAAAAAACAGAACACATCTGGGAATTACCATGTAACAATATATAATGTGGAACCAGTTCAATTTTATATACACACTATACTGACTTGAAACCGAATCTGTTTTATTAAAAAGATCCAATAATCAAAAGCTATCAATAATTCATTTTTTAAGGGTCAAAGCTTGTTGAACATAAGTGATGGACAAGTATGAAGTGGCCAGAGTTATAAACTTGTTTAAACATCCCAATTATTTTCTTCTTATTTCATCGCATACAAACATCAAATAATTATTTTGTTGATAATAACATTGATGGGTCTTAAAAGGCGTGGTCAATAAAATAGAGAATTTTTTATTTTTATTTTTTGTTGAAAAGTTTTTTTGAGAAGATATGCATTTAAATGTTCACTTAAGAGTTGAGTTTTTATTAGATTTAAATGACATTTTTAAATTATAACCAAACTCTATCACCCTAACAAAAGTCTAAGTAGAACTAACCTAAATGATGAATCAAAATACCAAATGATGATTCTCTTTTATTGGGCCTATAAAATGGTAGTCGGGCTTTTTCCATTTGAATTGAAAATGACTGGCCGCCAAAAAGAAAATGGAGTATAATCCCTAGTTAGTAACTAAAACACGTTACATCTTCGGAACATTTGGAGGATATGTCTTAGGTTCGTGTTGAAGAATGTCTTGAAGGTGAAGTGACCATTGGTGGCACAGAAATGGTGATCTTCGGCTACCATTGTGAGCTGCAAAAAACATGAATAAGATATTACTTACTTGTCTTTTCTTTTAATATGGAAATTGTTGTGAACAAACAAAGAGCAGATTGTTGAGTCAAATCTATTTGTGCACTGCTTGTGCATATAAAGAAGAAGTTTGAGAGCAAGTACGGTGTCTTTGGCGAAGATATCTCAAAGGTTTCTCTCTATTTTCTTTTTCTTTTTCCTTTGGTTGTATTTCTTTTTTCAGAAACAGTTATACTCATGTTTGTAGTGGAAGTTTGTGTGCGTTTGAGCGTCACCTCATGGACTCAGAAATCTTTCACTCCTTTTGGAAGGTAAGAGTTAAATGAGTTAAATAGATTATAAATATCTGATTATATAAATTTGATTGATTATGAAATTTTGGTGGGGAACAACCAGGAGCCGAGTTGAGAGTGGAGCATCCTAGCTTTTAGCTTTTAGCTTCTAGCTTCTAGTTTCCTTTTCCGAACCTTTTTATTCGTTATGAAAACTTTGTAATTGTGTACGTTGATTTGAGTTTCTTTGGTATGATTTTCTTGCAAAAGTTTTGAAACTTTCTAACTGGAAAAAATCTTCAACTCTACCTTATCTCAATATATTGAAAAATATAATAGAATACATATTTACTGAGAAATAGAAGGGTATATAGTTTGTGGAAGACTTGATCCATCCGTTAATTTCACGTATAAGAGACCTCTGATGTACTCATAATATCTCATTTTTTTTAACACTCAATTCTTATATTGTGTGATGTAATTATCTTATTATTATTTTCTATGTGCTTGGATTAGTTAGCTTTTGTTTGTAACGCATTCTGTAATTGAAGAAGCATTATTCGTTTGAACGTATATGTTATCTAATCTATTAAAAGGAAGTAAATTTATACTTAGCATTGAATTTTCTACAAAATTTACGTCTTTATGTTACTGCCTTTAAAACACAGAGTTTTAGTTTAAATTTGTATCAACACCATCAATTCTTTTAATTAATAAACTAACACTCGTTTTGGTTTTAATTCTAAACCATCGTCTCTTAATTATTAACCAATCTGTAAACCTTTTTATTCACTAATTATTAAACCATCACTAAATCAGTTATTTCTCTTATTAATTAATCATTGTTAAATCACTTATTATTTTATTAATAAACCAACACTAAATCACTTAATCCTTGGTTCCCTACATATCGTACTTTCTAATCTATAAAACACAATGTGTTACCATATTACTAAACCATCGGTACAACAACATACTTTATAATTTGACATTAAAAATTGAACAAAATACATCAATCTCAAAACTCAAAAATTATAAAAATATTAAATAAATGTTAAACATATAATAATTTAAAACTTACATCCATGGACCCGCGTGGATTAAAATCTAGTTGGAATTAAAGTCAAAGTTTTTGATGATTCTAAGAACTTTTATCTATTTAATATTATATCCAAATACACATATTTTCATGGACTAAAAGAACAAAACTTGTTGAAAAATTCAACATATATTATTTTTTATGTGGTCTTTTATCTTTTCTTCACAATATAGTGGTATAAATATTTTTTAGTACTTTGAATCGAAAAATAATATAACTTCTGGAATTGTCAACATTGCCTCAAAAATAGAATAACCTCTTGTCATCCAAAACCAGAACAAAGTAAACCAACCTAAACCGATTCTAATCAGGTATACTAGATGTGAAACCTCCTTAGGAAAGTTTTCCGTTGAAAGCTGAAATGCGCAAGTACTTGGTTCTCCATTTCGAGGACCTGATCTACGAGGATAGGAACCTACAAGGCAATTATCCTGCAAGTGATGCCAAGGAATTGAAGATTATTGTCTGTCTATGTTGTTTCCATCGATATCAGAGACATATGTAAGTGCATATTGTGGCTGGTACTACGTATTCGAGTGCATATAGAATATGTATGAGCATAAAGTAAAGAACACATAGAGATTTGTTAATGAGGTTCATTTCCTACATCTCCGGGACCATGTCCAGAAACCATTCATTAGAAAAGGTTGTAACCTACAATTGCTATATAGTATCTAGCATACACTTGTGCTTACCACTCTTATCTAGATTACAATGGTTAAACCAACTACTACTCATTGTTCTTATGAAGAGCATAGTTCTCTACAACTAAACCACCAACAAATCTCACCATCTGTCTGGTGGGACGACGCCACATACATGTGTGCCTCTTTCAAGAATACCCTGGACGCGTGCCTTTTTCTTTTTCTTTTTCTATCCACACAATCTTTCCTTTGTCTTCTCTTAAGATTAAGGAAATTTTCCCTCATCTTAAACATACTATTTAAGATGATTATCCAGCTCAGCAGACACTTCTTGGCTTGTCCAATTCATCCCTAAACTGTTGTCCACTTCTGTACTTCAGCTTTTTGTTAGCAATCACATAGCTGTGTTTCTGACGTAGTTCTTGATGTATTTTTTGAACTACTTTCTGATGTACGTCTTAAACCACGTCATGGTCTACTCCATCTAGTACCTCCTGATACACTTTATATATTGATTTCTCAAACCAGTCAGCATTACATCTTCAATCTCTCCCTTGATGACTACATTTCAGAATCCAAACCCCATCTCAATTTTTTTTAAAAATATAACCTCTCCCTTGATGACTGCATAGTAATCCTAAGCATACACTTAATGATACTTGTAACATTTTCTCCCCTTTTTTAACTTAGTTTGACACTCAAGCACTTTGATCATTCTTCATCTTCATCAACGCTATGATTTTTTCCCAACTGTGCTAACATCAAACAGACACCGCTGTCGCCAATAGAACAGGATCAAAGCCTGACGTACGCACAGAACAGTCTCTCCCTGATGCAGTAGCAGGATCGAAACTCATTCTGTACTTAGAGCCACCATCCTCTCCCTTAGGTTTTGCTCCCATGATAATCTTTCCCTTGCGTCAAGCAATAAAACCTTATTTTTCTTTTCCTTGAGCGTTCAACTAAGTTAAAACTAACCTTTAAAACAGATAATATCGTGTTTTACCATATGATGTATGCTCGGGCACATCCCTTGATACATTCTCAGCGCTTTTGCTCTTGTGAGTTCTCTCAGGAGAAGTTATTTATTCTCAGGCCATCCCAAGACAGTCTCGTTGCTTAGATCCAAGCAGAATGAATTGATCTATTCACGTTATACTCTTCTCTTCATCAGATTCGCTGAGCAAGTAAACTTCATTATCACACGGTGAAACACCTTTAAACCAGCTCCAGAACCTTATCATGAACAATATTGATTTTTCTTAGTTGTCGC